AAAAAAAAAACAAAGAAAAAGAAAGGAAGATATCACTTCCCTGTTCGGGCTTTTTGACTACTTATTGTACTCACCTTTTCCGACCATGCATTAAGTTCCTCACGTGCCCGTGTTCCCTTTGGCGGGAGCATTGGCTCTATATGTACAACTTGCAATTGTGCCGTAATCTGGGCAACGTGACCACGTGCCTCTTCAACAAATGAAGCTTTCCCACGGCGAGAGGCCCGCCTGGTCCGCTCCTCCTCTGTGTTACTATTTGTACTCCAAGCCGTACTACCCGTTGAGTGGCCCCCTGTTGAGTGATTCGGCAATGCGGCCTCAAGCACAGAATCGGCACGACCAAGTGAAATCAGCATACGGCGTTGTGATCGCATGTGTTCTTGGATCAACTCATTACGTGACATTTCCCCTTCGGTGAGTGGTGTACTATTGTTGAATACAACACTTGTACGGCCTACAGAAGTAGCGGGAGCCCGCACAACATCCTTATCCATTACTGAAATTACAGTCAATTTCCTTCCAGTTCCAGCTCCTCCTAATCCTGCGGTTGTGGATGTAGTTGTAGTTGTGGCTGCTGCTGTTGTTGCTGTTGTTGGTACAGTTGCATTTGTCACTGCGGTGACTGTGGGTGGTGTTGCTAAACCCGTGAGTCCCATCTGCATTCGCGGTGTACGGTTAGCATGAGTGGAGTTACTTGGAAGAATAGTAACAGGAGGAGGAGGAGAATTCTGTGTTTCGGTAGCGGTAAAGGTACCTTCTACAATACTACTACCAGCTCCACCAACACCACTACTAGTAGCTTTAATTGTATTTTGATTACTTTGGGTAAAAGGAGGAACGGATGATTCACTACCTTGTTCTCCTCGGGCAAAGTATTTGGTACCACTTAACATAACTGAAGAAAGTTCTCCTGTTGTAGAATCTTCTTCAGTTTCTACCAAAGGTATTCCACGAAGTTTTGAGATATATTCACTCTTTACAAGTCCTTTAAAGTTTTCTTCTCGTGAACGGCGAGAACGTATACGTGTAGACAGAGCTACACCTTCATCCGGAAAAGGTGATTTACTTATTTGAAGTAATCTTGATTTCCCTTTTTCAATATCTTCATGATGTTTTTGTTCTATTCGTTCTAATATTTCCATACCAAGTGACTGCATATTACTCGGTTCTCCTTGAAAAATCTCTGTGTGTCCAGTAGTACTGTGAAGAAGAACACCATTGTTGGATTCTGTAATACTTGACACTCGCCGCGTTAAAGGTTCATGCACCACAGATCCTTCTCCCCCATGTGCCTTACTCATTCTTAACGTACCACGTAAAGAGCGATTGTGTTTACTATTGTGTATAAGACTCCTCTCTGGTTTGGGAGAATCTTGAAGGAAATCAATAATTTCAACATTACAGTAGTGCGGTGGTAAACGTCTGGTTGGTCGTAAACCAAGAAACTCATACGTGGACGGAGTTCCTAGTTTCCATGTGTTCATCCCACACTCACCTACGATAGTACCATCCAGCAAAAACACTCGTGTAAAGTTATCGGCACCAGATGAAACTACTATTAAACCACCATATTTTGTTGGTGGAGCAAAGGCAAATGGAACATTACTACTAAAACTACCGCCATTAGTTGGGAGAGCAATTTTCACTTCAGTTTGTTGATTGTCATTCTTTTCCACATTTGTTTCTTTTCCTTTTTCTTTTTCTCTTTCCTTTTCTTCTTCTTCTTTTAAAACAGATGGTTTGCTTGTTGCTGCTAGTGAAGGTAGTGGTGGTGGTGAAGGTGATAATGATGCTGCATTCCCTTTTAATTCCTCTGAAACTGAAAATTCCCTTGTTGATATAATACCTGAAGTATCGGCTTGTGTGGGATCACCAATAATAGCGACTCCAGAAACAGAAGGAAGTCCAGAATGAAAGACGTAATTTCTAGTAAATTCAGCGAATACATAAGGTGTTTTCTCTTCATCTATCAATCCTTGTTGTTGTTGTTGTTGTTGTTCATTAGATTCCTTCTTTTTCTTTTCTTTCCCATCCTTTGAGTTAAGTTTGGAATCTAAGAACTGTGCAAATTCTGGACTATCAAAAGGTGATCCTGGCCAAAACACTGTCGTCTTCCCTTCACGAGTTGCTTGTGATTGTGGACTTAATAAACGCATAGATCCTTCATCAGGAACTGCACGTAAACGAATACTACAAACATGAATATTACCACTATCATCCGCAAAAACAAAGTGTTGATTACCCTTATCCAAAACTACATGCGTTAAACCTGATTCCCCTTCTTTAGATGGAAAAGCACGTCGTACATTAACAGTTTCCATAAGAAGTTTACGTAAAGTATGCCATAATGCCACAGTTCCATCAGAGTGAACTGTCATTAAAATATGAGCTCCAACCTCTTCTAGAGGAAATATTTTAATAATACGAGATGTAAGAACATTTCCTTGATGTTCACTTCGTCTACTCTCTAAAGTTGGTTGTTGAATGGACCGACGTACGGGTTCTACTACATCTACTACCCAAAGTGGTGATCCCTCCTGTCGCTCTGCTAACACATGATAAAAGAAAAGAGCCCCAGATGAAGTTCCACAAACAATAATTTGTGGAGAAACAGAACGCATGGCTAATACTTCTCCATACTCTTCGGGAACTTCCCATTTAGATGCACTTGCTATTGTAAATGTACTGGATTCTCGTGTAAAAAATAATTGTCCTCCTGCTGCAAAAATAAAAAAAGTAATACCATCACGTGCTAATGATCCTAATGCCGTTACTTCTGGTTTCATAGTAGTTGTAGAAAAACTTTCTGCAGCTGCAGTAATAACATTAATGGTTTGACCATTTACTACATTCCATACCGCCACTGCCCCATTTTGAAATCCAGTAAGTAAACGACGTTCTAATCCATCAAGGGCGAAACATGTTAAACGAGCTGCATTCATTACTGCAGAATCTGAAAATTCTTTTAATTGAAATGTAAATACAGGAGATCCATCTGAACGTTTCCATGTCATTACAAGTCCTTCTACATCAATTGTAATAATAAGATCATATGTTTTATTATAAATAACACCTACCATAGATACCATATGACCTTGATATTTACTAGCACAAGCAGAAACAGCATAACGTTGTTGTCCATGATAATATGGATATGAAGCCAAACATAATAACCTAAATCTTGGTTCATCAAACATAATTCGTTGAGGATTAAGATTAGGTACATGAAGTACTTGTATTAAACGAAATCCTTGTGTATCAAAAATAAAAATACTTCCATCTGTTCCAGATGTAAATATTTGATTTTGTTTTAAATGAACAGCACATGAACGACATGGACTATTATGTGCATCTAATACAGCCATAGGGGCATCATGAGAAAAATCCCAAACCATTCCATATCTTTCTGGACCTACTGTTACAAGAAATCGTAATTGTGAATGAACTGCAAAATCATGTACAGCTGAATGTTGTTCTGGTCCTGAAGAAGTAAAGGTTCTTAATAATATTCCTGTATCTAAAGATGTCATTTTTACAGTTCCATCATCTGAGGCAGTTAAAAGAGAATAGGTATCATACATAATACTCATCTTGTTTATACGTTTATCATGTAATCGTACTACTGCATGAGGAGTTACTAATCTTTTTGAAGTTTTTGGAATTGCATAAAATCTAACTTCACCTATTACAGTTGCTAAAATTATCATATCTTCACGTAATGCAGTATGATGAAAAAGTGAACACGATATAGAATCTACAAGACCAGCTAAAATACATTCTTCTACACGACATTGAACATACGGTCCTGTACCAGGAGTAGCTAATGATATCATAGCTTCAGGTGAATCTTTTCCTCTTTTTTCTTTTGGTCGTTTAACAGGTGGTAATATTTGTCCTCCATCTACACTTCCCCTAACACTAGTATTAGTAGCATTAGCAGTAGTACTATTGCTATTACCACCAAGTCCACTAAAACTTTTAATTTCGTACATGGGATTATAATGTTGACCTTTCGGTTTTATTTTTCCACCAATTTTAACATGATGAACACTATCATGGGCGTACATATATCCATCTACTGTATCCACTACGGCTCTTCCACGGTAAAGTCTTTTTACTTCTAATGTTTTGGAATCCAAAATAATTAACTTTCGATCCATAGTAACAATAAAAATACACTGAATTTGATCTGCCCAATGTACACCAACAACCCAAGAATCACCTGCATAAACAATACCACAACTAGATAACGTTTTTAAATTCCATGCTCGTACTGTTCCTTCAGATCCTCCTGTTAAGAGAAGTTTACGACGTGGATTTATCTCCATACAAGTTCCTGTTACATGTCGCATAGATGGAATACAAGATATTGGTTCAGGTGTAGAGAGAAGTTCTGCAATAGTTCCTTGAACAAGATTAGAACGATGTTGACCTCTAGAAAGTAAATAAGTTGCAAAATCATCCCATGATATTCGTTTTTTAGCTTCATAATCTACTTTTTTCATAAGTTCCATAATTTCACTATCTGTTGCACCTGGTAAAACATATCTTACAGCCTGAGCAAATTCTTTTTCGGTTAATACACGTGTATAAGACTCACCAGAAGAAGATTTTCCTCTTGTAGAATATGACATAAGTAACTGATACATATCTATTTTAATTTCATTATCTTCTTCTGTTTCATTGGGAACACCATAAAGCTCCGTTGTCATTTTTCTTGGACTCTTCTTATCACCAACTAGAGGAGTTTCTGAATGACGTGATGCTCTTGAATGTCCTCTCCCTTCCGTTTCCTCTCCTAATCGATTAACCTTTGGAAATCGCATAAAACTAGTTTTAGAAGAGAGTTTTTTTTTCAAAGGACTATCATTTGATATAGTCTTATTATCATCAAAAACGTTACATTTCATGGAGAAAAAATACATGAGTCGTTGTAAATCGTCTAAACATAATTGCTCCTCCAATGGTTGTGGTCCAAGACTATTTTGAGATACACTCTTATCATCCTCTGCATCTGCCCCTTCATCATTGCTTCTATCAAGATTATTTTCCTTGTTTAACATATCATTCTCATTCTTACTCTTTACTGCAGAATCACGATGTGGTTTGGTCATTCTCAATTTCTCTTCTTCTTCTTCCCTTGGTGGTGGTAATAAGGCAAGAAGACGTTTCTCCTTTCGTCCATATGTTGACTGAACAATATGCGTTGCACTGCTGCCCGCAGACCAACTGATGGGTGATGCCGCACGACTGGGACTTGACTGTCGAGATGGGGGAGGGGAACTTCCACTCAACCCCCGCGGCCGTACACCACCGAACTGTCTCACTTGTGCAGATGCACCGCGCTCTTCTGTGTGTTGATCCCTATCCATTTGTACATTCTTTGGCCGGATAGCCATACCACAGCACTATTATGATAACCCCTTTTTCTCTTTCTCTTTTCTCTCTTTCTTTTCTTTTTCTTTGCTCTTTCTTTTTTTTTTCTTTTTTTTTGCTCTTTCTTTTTTTTCTATAGCGGATCAATCCCCAAAGGTACACCCTTCTTACTCTCTGGTTTTTTTTTTTTTTTAGTGGTGATACACCTTTCTAGGTATTGAATTGCCTGTAAACAAAAGAAGAGAATTAAAGAAATAAATTAATCAAAAGAAAAAAAAAAAGATGCAAATAATAATAGAAACATAATCATTACATATCTACATATAAATATTATCCATGTTCACTAGTAATACTTATATATATATATATATATATATATTCTCTGTGTTTTTGTGCCTCTGCTAACAGAAAAGAGGCGAGAAACCTAAAGCAACCGTCTACCAGAAATAGAAATACACTCACTCACAGATAATCATAGAACGAAACGAGACAACTATAAGATTAAAGAAAGAAAAAAATTGATGAGAAATTCAAAATAATAATAATAAAAATAAAAATACAGAATCTCTCATAAAATTTTTTTCTAATGATCATCAGATGCCATAAGTACTTGTACCAAGACTTTTAATGCAAGAATAAAATTAGAAAAATCACCATCACAGATTGTATGGTCTTCCTCTGTAAGGGTTGTAAGATTTGAAAAGATACTAGGTAATAACGTCAAGAACATGCATAGTTCACGGAGGTAAACTCTACTATCCCCACCACTTCCTGAATTATTACCAAAACAACCATTTGACATTGGTACAGAACGAGAGGCAAAAGATAATTTCTGTGGTGCAGCATTTGTTCTTATAGTAGAACCAGCAATGGAGGCATTCACCACAGCATTGGCAACTACTCCAGAGTATATTCCCGATTTTTCTTCACTATCCGATCGACTAGTTTTTGCAAGGTTATGAGAAGCATCTGATTCACTATCATCTGTGGTTGTAGCAGCTCCTGTTCCAGAGCCTGTGGTGGATTTCCCAACAGGCATTAAACCTCCAGTATTATTATTATTATTATTATTATTATTATTATTCTTGACGCCCTCTAACCCTAATGAGTATTCTGAGACTGGAGAAGCTGATTCTGGTCTATGCGTTAAAATTTCAGTATTTTGTGTAGAAAGCGATTTATGACCTAAATATTCAAGAGAATGAAATACACGGGTATAAAACGTCTCCAATGCTTCCTGCAACTTTCCTAAATTTCCAATAGCAGTTGCTACTCGAATAAGAGCTTTAATAATAGATGGAAACTCAAAAAGAAACCGTCGTGAAAAAGCACTATTAGCTGAAAGACGTGCATTATGTGACATTGTAGATTGCACATTTGTTGTGTTCGTCGGTGTATCGTGACTTTCATAATGACTGCTGTTACCACCAGAAAGTCCAGGACTTCCTCCTCCTTGCGGCGATAATGTATTGGAGAAGTCGAGAGGTGAGTCAGGGGGAATAGGGTTACCAGAAGAAGGACGGGGGAGTGGATTATTATTATTATTATTACTATTATTACTATTCGTATTCGTATTATTATTATTACTATTACCATTATTATTATTATTATTATTATTATTATTATTATTATTAGCTCCTGCTGCCCCAACGCCTGTATTGGTTGCAATCACCCGTTGAACTTCATCCAATTGCACTTGCCATCTTGGTCGCATCACTTCACCAAAAAGCATTTGATGTATTTCCGCAACAACGCGGCTCTCATCTAATACTCGGGCCACACGCACACACACCGCACAAAAGTCCTCTCGCAACATCAACTGAGAGGCATCACACCACAAAGAGGCAAGAACATGACAGAGAGATGTACAGTCGGTGAAGGATAATTTGTGCCAAAAACGACATGCAAGTCGGTGTTCAAAACCAAAGACAAACGTACCATAACGAACACCAAGAGAAACAGGAAGACCAAAACATTGTTGTAGTGCTGTAGGGAGTGGCATAGTACATGGAATAAGCATTCCATCACGACCACGATAGGCAGAGGTGAGAAATGTACACACCCATTTAAGGTTTTCCCACTGTCGTTTTAATGATCCTTCACTAATTCCAGCACGGATAAGTTGTTGCATTTTTTGATCTCGTTTAGAACGTGATCTATGAAAGAAACGTCTTTCTGATTCTCCTTCAAGATCTAATTTTTGCATACGTGAACCAAAATACATTTTTAATACTTCATCATCCACGTCGTAAAAAACTTCTACTACACGACGACGATCTTTTAGAGCTATAGGAATAGCATAATTTGATAAAAAAGCATACGGTGTAGCTAAGTGATTCTCACGAAGCATATCAAAAAGATTAAACTGTTCAATCATTTCTTCCTTTAAAAAGATAGATTTATTAAGTACTGCCTGCCATACTTCTTGATGAAGTGTCATATTAGGAGTACCATAAGAAAAACTACGATTACGTAATCCCACCCAACGTCCAAGAAAATCATCTACATCGCTACCAAATATTAATTGTTTCTCTTTTGAAACTTTATCTCGCTTTTCATTTGATTCACTCACATCAACAGTAACATCTCCTGTATCTGTTGTTGGATTTACTTCTGATAATGTAAAGCTCTCTGTAGCAGGAAGACGGGAATTTATTGTCGGTTCATCCGTTAAGAGTCGTGGAGATTCCGTATTTAAAGCAGGTCCAACCCCATTAAAAGATAAATTTGAATGTACTTGAGATGGTGATTCTTTTTCATTATTAACGCCATGGGGCCAGAGCTTACCTAGTTCTACCAAGTAATCTACAGCTTCCTCTACAGAGAGTCCAGCAGTATACGCTCGAAAAGCATCAAAATCAATACTAATTGGCCATACAGAATGGGAATGAAGTGACGGTCGCAACGTCATCAGACTAATATCATTATTTGAACCCCAAATGAATCACATACAGAATGAATGAGTAAACATAAATTTAAGAAGAAAGAAAGGAAAAGAAAAGAAATAAATAAATAAAAAGAGAAAAAAAATATATACATATAAAAAACAAGCAGAACAAAAAAAAAA